ATGAGTTGTCCTGTTAGAGGCATCGTCGCTAAGAGGGCCTTGATGATGCCCCAGCAACTTCGTGTCAGTCGGGACAGGGGTGTTGCCGATGATCGGAAGATGCTGCTGCCAAGTAGGCTTAGCAATGTCAATGTTGCCGATGACTGAGGCGCACACCGACTGTTGTAAAAGATTGTTTCTTAGTTCGTTCATGGGATGACAAGGAGTGTATGTCGTTAAAAGTGTCAAAGAAGTAACACATGTAGAGCATTTTTTGTGAGCATGGTTTTCATTCTTTAAAATGCACTTGTTTTCCTTACTCTCCCTCTCTACAATGGTAACATGTCTTTGCAAATGCATGGGGGGCATTATAATCTCTTGGTTAATGAGTTAATAAGGCAAAAATCCCACTTGGCCCTGCACGTTTAGATGCAGGTATCAAACAAAGAGGTACAACTCTGTTTTGCTGAAATGATAATAAAAACTACTTTAGAAGTTGGTGTAAAGTTTAAAAACTGATTAAGAACAAAACATAGGGAGGTTAAACGCTGGTTATACATTGGAAATTAATCATTATCAAACAGTAAAAAGTTCAGAAACGCATAAAACAAACTACTCCAAGGGAGGGTAAAATGGGTTAACATTGTAATTAATGGAGTCATAATCAAATATTAAATTGTTAAAAAAAGGATTAAATAGGCCCCAAGGAAGGAAAAAACGATTAAATATGCCCCAAGAAAGGTTTAAAAAAATAATTAAATAGGCTCCAATAAAGGTTTTAAAAAATGAACGACTAAAAATGAATAAAAAAGAAGGATTAAAAATGAATAAAAAAGAAGGATTAAAAATGAATAAAAAAGAAGGATTAAAAATGAATAAAAATAAGGATTAAAAAATGAATAAAAATAAGGATTAAAAATAAATAAAAATAAGGATTAAAAATGAATAAAAAATAAGGATTAAAAATGAATAAAAATAAGGATTAAAAATGAATAAAAATAAGGATTAAAATGAATAAAAATAAGGATTAAAAATGAATAAAAATGAAGGATTAAAAATGAATATAAAATGAAGGATTAAAAATGAATAAAAAATAAGGATTAAAAATGAATAAAAATAAGGATTAAAAATGAATAAAAAATAAGGATTAAAAATGAATAAAAAATAAGGATTAAAATGAATAAAAGATAATGATTAAAAATGAATAAAAAATAAGGATTAAAAATGAATAAAAAATAAGGATTAAAAATAAATAAAAAATAAGGATTAAAAATGAATAAAAAATAAGGAGTAAAAATGAATAAAAAAATAAGGAGTAAAAATGAATGTCTCTTATGAAACGTGAACGGCAGGATTCGAACCTGCGCGGGCAGAGCCCACATGATTTCTAGTCATGCCCGATAACCACTCCGGCACGTCCACCTACTGTGCTTAAATGTGTCTTGTACGTAATATTTAATAGTATTAACTTTCCTTTTACTTTTCTTCCACGTGTATCACTTAAACTAATTCTTTTTACTTTTCTTCCACGTGTATCACTTAAACTAATTCTTTTTGTTTTTCTTCTACGTGGCTAATTTAAACTCTTTTTGTTTTTCTTTTGATGTGTCTGACTTAAATTATTATTATTTTTCCTTTAGTTATGTCTGACTTAAACTAATTCTTTTTGTTTTCCTTTCAATATGTCTGACTTAAACTAATTCGTTTTTTTTTTTTGGACATGTATGACTTAAACTGATTTTTTTTTTGTTTTTCTTTCTATATGTCTAACTAAAACTAATTCTTTGATACGTTTGACTTAGAAACTATTTCTTTAAAAAAAAATTTATATAAGGTTGACACTTTAAATCACAACTTTATCGGAAAGGACTGTTTTGAGATTGGAAAAATATTTAATTGATCATCTTGATATAAATATGTATTGATATGGAAAAATAAAATAAAATTTATCCCAAAAATAGGACGTCTTGCACCTCACTATCTGAACGGTCCATTTTCAAGATTTTCATATGTTTATAAACATTCTTGATTTGAACAATTTTGGAGTTTTTAAAATTTTATAATTATAAATAGAAAATATATTCTCAAACAACCCAAAATTTTTCGATGCCAAAACTGCATCTTAAGACAAAATTTAGAGGTTTAAAGTTGCAACCTTATGCAAACCTCATCCCCTTCTTTTTGATTTCTTTTAATATGTTCGACTTAAACTAATTCAGCCCAGCAATTTTTCAATTTCACCATCAAACTTGATGATTCTTCTCCAGAAAAATAGCTTTGGCATATTGGGGAATTGAGAAAGCATTTTATTGGTGTGAACAAAAAATGTTAAGTAATAGTGAACATGGGCCGAAACTAGATGGTTAGAGTGATAGGGTGCCCCAACGTTATACATTGAGTTTCATTCCTATCATGGATATATAATCTCTTCTCTGCAGAACTACCTAAAAAACAACACGTGTGAAAACAAATTATTGTAATCCTCATGACTACATGGGATAAGTAGTCCCATGTAGTCATAAAGGTCATTAACAGCTAATCGAACGGTTGAAATATGATGGAGAGGGTAGGGCCCACCATCATGATCATGTCATGTTTTGGCAGGTTGAAGAAGATGGAGGTGCTCTGTTTGGTAGGTCAGCCATGGGAATTGAACATTAGATGTGGGGTCATGGTTGTCACCACCATAAAGATTAGACAAGTGCCCAAATGCCACTGAATATAGGGAAATTTGTGATCCTTGATTACTATCTTAAGAGAGACTCCTTGTCAACTTCCAAAAGAGCCGATAAACTTTTGGAGAAACACTAACTAAAACCAATGTTTTTATAATCGCCTTTAGCCAGGAACTCGCCACTAGCCTTGGGCGAGTTAATATATACCATGGAAAAGCTAGTTACTTGGGGAAGTTAATGTATAACCTGAAAAAAGTTGTGAAAAAAGTTAAAATGGTTAAAAATAGCTAAAAATACACAAAATTAAAAGAAGTAATAGAAATCATGAAAAGACTACAGAAGATAATTAATATTGGAAAACACTACACAACGCCTATAGGCGAAAATGAACAGTGACGTCACTTACCCCCATCACCGTCTAAAGTTCATCGCACTGTCATAATTGTTAAGTAGTGTTTCATTTTTCATTTTTTTTTCTACAAATCGAAATGACTTGAAATTTGGAGCGTGTATTTATCAAAAATAGGAGAATCTTTGAGAATTATAAAAAAAATATTTTACATGAAAAAAATTGATTAAAATACCCCCAAAAAGTTTCGAAGATATTTTGGTCAATTTATTTTTCATGGATAATTGTTTTTATATTTTTATTAGATGCGCCTCAGTAAGATGTACATACTTTCCAAATTTCAGATCATTCTGATTTGTAGAAAAACAATGAAAAATAAAACACTACCAGACAATTATTACCGCAC